AGATACTTATGGGAGGGTTGCAAAGTTGGGCCGTGGACAAAGCCCGTAGCAAAAAATGCTAAAAAGACCTACTAGTGGTGAACATCCTTTGGACTTAGCAAAGTAGAGCCTTTGCTATGGAACCAAAAAGATACCTTGAGAATGGAGGTAGGGATCCTATGTTGCTTAGTGCAACAATCAATGGATAAAAGCAAAAGACTAATGGCCAAGTGTGGGCCATGGAGTTCATTAAAAGGAATCCAAATAACAAAGTTAAACATGGAACACAATGTGTTGAATGTTAACGGATGGTGAGAAAGGAAGTGTGCTTCCAAGGATGGATTCCCAATTGCTCCAAGTTGGCAAATATGAAAGCTCCAAGGGAGGGAGCGGCAAAGTGGCCAAATGATAGGTCCGTGGACAACTCTAGCACAACTTACGATACCTGGAACTTGGTGCCAAAAGTGGCATAAAAAAAAGGAGGATGATGGTGCCCTCAAGTGGAGAACTTCCTAGGATGGGGAAGTGAAGTTGCACAATATGTGCAATAAAAGGTGTTGGAGACACCAAAGAAATTGACTTCGAGAAGTCAAAATTAAAAGTTCCAAGGTGAATTGGTTATGTCAATAGAAGTTAAAACTACTCGAGAATGAGTGGTGGGATTGAACTAGAGAAGATGTTTCTAATGGATTTAGGGAAAGTTAAACCAATAAAAAGGAGAGAACCACCTAAGGTGGTCAAATAAGTCTTTATGTTAGAGACACTATACTTCTTAGAGGCTGGACAAGGCATGGCAGGCCTTTGGTGTCAAACCATTGATGAATATTGGCTAAGTGCCAAGGATGGAAAAGGTAATACATGCTGGTGTTACTTTACAAAATGGTTTATTGTTCGATGAGGACATCGAACTTCGTCTATGGGTGATGGAGTTGTGAGACACAAATCCCTAAGCCCCAAAGTGGAGCTGAAAAGGTGCCACGTGGTAGTGGCCAAATCGAAAGCCAAACAAGCGTAACACATTTGGACTAAAAGCTCCAAGATGGACCGAGATGGAGTCCGAAATGGAGTCCAAGATGGAGTCCGAGATGGAGTCCGAGATGGACCGAGATAGAGTCCAAAATGGAGTTCAAGATGGAGTCCGAGATAGACCCAATATGGAGTCCAAGATGGAGTCTGAGATGGAGTCTAAGATGGAGTCCGAGATGGAGTCTGACATGGACCGAGATGGAGTCCAAGATGGAGTCCGAGATGGACCGAGATGGAGTCCAAGATGGAGTCCGAGATGGACTCAAGATGGACCTGAGATAGAGTTCGAGATGGAGTCTAAGATGAACCTGAGATGGAGTCCCAGATGGAGTCTGAGATGGACTCGAGATGGAGTCCGAGATAGACTCGAGATGGAGTTCGAGATGGAATCCGAGATGGACCAAGATGGAGTCTGAGATGGACCCAAGATGGAATCTGAGATGGAGTCCGAGAAGGACCCAAGATGGAGTCTGAAGTCGAGACCGAGACCGAGACCGGGGCTGAGACCGAGATCGAGACCGGGACTGAGACTGAGACCGAGGCCGAGGCCGAGACCAAGTTCGAGTCTGAGTTCAAGTCCGAGTCTGAGAGGGTGAAAGCCCAAAGCATTCATCTCCCAGACCCTAGGAGGTTTGGTGAGCTCCAAAAGTATAGTAGGGGGAGGACTCTAGTGGAGCTAGTTTGGCTAGGAAAAGCCAGTTTGGCCTAGGAAGGCTGTACCCAGGTGTTGGGTGATGGGATAGCCATTAGGAGGGCCAAAGCTAAAGTGAATACGGACTATCAAGTGGGGTAGCTTGGTGAAGTGTTCAAGAGCCGGCTCTAGTTCCCCCGAGAGATCGAATGATCGATGCTCTCAGTCCAAGTGTGGGTGGCACTACTTAGTTGGATATCTGGCATGGCTCAACGGAACCTCACTCTAAACCCATGGCTAGAGCACCCAAAGATGGAAAGCAGGGAGAGTACCCACGAGGCTCGCGTAAAGCCATGGTGTTCTGAAATGTTCGTCGAAGGGATCTTCATTTAACAGATGATAGTTGATGTAGAAACGAATACTCCTATTAGGCTTTGTCACAAACATACCCAAGAACTTCATAACTTTTGAATAACACTTTTTTCCAACATCTTTTTGACATTTATATGTAAAATCTTGATCTCTTTGGGTGACTAGTGATGAACAAAAATCTTGATTGGACGAGCATCCCCGGTTGGAATCAAATGATGTGTAGCAATCTTGGCCCCAAACGATAGGTCAAATTCAAAGAGATCAGCATACTCCTTCATGAGCCGGTCAACCATTACAACACAAAGAACGTCGGAGGGATTGGAAAAGGGAAGAGTAGAACAAAACAGAAACACATAAGGAAGTAATGAGGAGACAAAAGTAATTTAAGTAGAAGTAGAAGCAAAAGGACAAAGAGGTAAAAAAGTGAGAGGAATGGATGAAATATAAAAAAGTATAAGATAAGGGGGAGAAGCATCAAAGTCACATTTGGTATGATTGCACTGCAACCAATCCATACCAAGGATGAGGTTAAAAGCTTGACTTAGCACCACCTACAATGACTGCAACCCAAGCTCGAGATCACCCACATGCACAACTAGGTCTGCCTCATCCCGTGTATATGCATGTGTACAACCGTTGCGATAAAGAATGAAAATTGGCTCTACTGCACAATGCAAATATAGATAGCAATATGTGAGAATAAGTCAAGCAATAGAAGATAAACTCAAACTTGTATCAACCAAATATAGAGAGAATAATAGGAAACCTCTTGTTATAAAAATAAGTTTGGAAAGTAAACACTAAGTGAATTGATGCCGAGTGAACCTCTTCATGACACTTTCGAAAGAAAGATAGAGGGGTCACTAACTTATTCACGCAAGATCCCTCTATTACTTGTGCGACTCCTCATTTCCCAGATGCATCTTGGTGTTCAGACCTTCCACTATAATAGCACCAACAGGACATTGTTGACGCCGAGGTCTCCACTCAGGAAATGATGACTGCCAATCCAAAAAATGCCGATAACATCGAAAAGTGTGACCAAATTTATCACATGACCAACAGCAAACATCATGGCCACGACCACGTTCTCACCCTTGTCCTTGAACTTGAACAGCAGGAACATCAACCTTCACTAGAACAGGACCATTTCCCACATGAAGTGGAGTGTAAGCTCATGAGTTTGGACTTCCCGAGAGGTCATCCAGCCCAGTACTATTCAAATCCAAGGATGCTTAACCCCAAGTATCCCAAGACCCTTAACCAATTGGAAAAAAGGGTATACTCTTATTCATGGGCCCTTTCCCTTTATATTTGAACCCCATGGATCATCTCTCGAGTCGTTCCCACTGGGCTCGACCCGAAAGGTAGGGTGTCAAGAGAGCGAGGCTCTCGGGAGAGTTGCGGCTCTCAGCTTCCGTTCATAAGGGCGTGAACTTGCAGGGAAATATGGTGGATTGTAAGTAACCAAAGAGAACGATTTGAGAAACAGTCCATAGGATTCAAATATAAAGGGAAAAGGCCCATGAATAATAATGCACCCCCTTTTCCAATTGATTAAGGGTCTTGGGATACTTGGGGTTAAGTGTCTTTGGGTTTGAATAGTACTGGGCTGGGTGACCTTTCGGGAAGTCCAAATTCAGGATCTTAAATGAAGTTGAAAGACATGCAACGAGAAATGGAAGAGGCGATGTCTTATAATGTTATGCCAAGTAAAGGGCATAAGAAAAAAATGCTAAATTGCATCATTGACTCAAATGGCTCTTAATAATCTTATGCCAAGTAAAGGGCATAAGAAAAAAATGCCAAATTGCATCATCGACTCAAATGGCCCTTAATGAAGACGATGCAATTGTTGGAAGGCATCATCACAATCATGTGATATGTGGCAATCACCGTGAACTAATAGTATACATCATCCTCAGGATTCCCACGAAAGAATTCCGGCCGAATATAAGGATTGGCAGAAGGAGCTATACCACATGCCATCCCTTGGAAACATATGAGAAACTCATGCAAATGTCAAGCATCATTCCAAGAATGATATATGGCAATCACTGTGAAGTGATTGAACCAATGGTACACATCATCCTTAGGATTCCCATGAAAGAACTTCGGCCGAATGTGAGGATTTGTAGAAGGAGCTATACCACATGCCGTAAATGCTGCCATCCACTGAGTTTGGTTGTTCAATTGCAATTGCATAGTATTAAGCAATTGCACCAACTGCTACTCTAGAATTAAAAGAGGAGGAGACTACTGCTTTGCCATAAAGATGAATAAAAAGAAAAGAGCAAAAAGAAAAGAAATGAAAAAAGCTAGAAGGAAAAAGACATTTAAACAATGCAAAAGCTAGATTTAAACCAAAATCTTGAAAGGAAGGAACAAAATTAAATTTAAACAATACAAAAGCTAAATCTAAATAAAAACCTTAAATCCAAGCACTCCCTAGGGACAATCAAAAATACCCCTCAACTTTACCAATGTGAGTGTATGGAGTATAAAAAAGGAATATAAAAAATATACATATCAATTAACCCAAAAATCTTAACTTATATACAAAAGTGAATAATCCAAATTGAAACCAATCCGATCGCTACCAAAATCCTACTACACTAATATTAGTATATGGTATCGTAGTTATACACTTGGACCTCATTTGGACCTCACAGAATGATATTTCTATAAATTCTTATTTTTGAATTTCTTTTTTATTAATATTTTTTAGAAAAATATTAGAGTTGTATTATTTGCACCATTGATATTTAATGCTGTTTTTCCAATTAATGCTCCACTGAGCTCTGTGATTTCTTGGGTGCGATAGAGGAAGAACAACAAAAAACAGACATGCAAGCACTTGCCATTCAGAAGAGCAAAGGACCACAATTGCAACTGTAGTGAATCTAGGAATTGGATGCTGAACACCAGGCACTGTGAGACTGAAATGAACTGTTGTATATTGGAGAATAAAACCATTAAGAGATAAACAAAAAACCAATTAAGAAGACTCTTGCTTTATTACCAAACAATGCACCAATATGATCAATATATAGGAGTATTCAAAAGGTTCATCATCAATAAGTTATCCGGGGTGGGGGGGTATGAAGAGCAAAACTTGGTCCTTTCTTTCGTCTCGCCATAAAAGAATCCTTTGCCCTTAGGCGGAGGGAAGTGGTAGCGGCGTGGTTAGCTGCTCGGGAGCTTTCGAAACTCCTCCAGAGGTCGGCCTGGAATAGAGATTTGAGATTTCCCCACAAGAGATGAGAGCGAGAAACTTACAGTCCAACGAAGACTTTGAAGGCGTCGTAGATTCCCCACTGTGCTCCAGTGAGTGTTCCAATCATCACGATACGCAGCGGTAGCCCCCGGGTGAAGAGAGCCACCGGGCCCATGCTCTTGACGGCCTGGAGCAAAAGATAACGAAATAAGCGCAAGAACAAGAAGCAAACAAGGATACAGACTTGGCCAATGGTTGCGTCCTTGGTATTGTTGAGGAACGAGACAAGGTTGTCAGCAGGGTGCGAGACGATAGCGCAAAAAATTCCAGCAATGTAACCGCCACCAAAACTAACACCCAGCTGCTCCACCTTGCTACACTCGTCCTTGGGCTTGGGAATAACGTACTTGTAAAGCGCCTCGACCGTGGCCTCAAAGCATGCAAACTTCATCATCGTGTCTGCCAGAAACGAGAATTTGTCACAAACAAGTCAGCAAAAACCATTTCTTTCGTCGTGTTTGCGTTCGAGAGTTGGATAGCTTACATGGAATTTGGCGTCCCCAGAGAGGCACCAGTCCTCTGTAAAGTCTGAGCACAGAAATAGCTGGTGTTAAAAAGGAACAGAAAAGAAAAAGGACAAGAACATACCCAGGAACGCCCTCAGCCCTCGTGATTTTTGGCAGGCCATCGAGAAGCCCATTAGCGAATCCGGGCTTGGTTTGGACCCGGACCTTGACGGCCTCCATCGGGCACAGCGCAATATCGGCGAAGAACTCGGCAGAGGCAGATCCGGCCAAGTAAATGAAAGTCTTGTACTTGTACGCATTCTCCTCTCCGGCCAAGTCCGAGTAGTACTTTTTGAAGAACTCGTAGAGCCCAAACTTGAAAGCTCCCTGCGCACTGTATCCGAACAGCGTCGGAACCCATCCCTTGAACAAACCTTTGGGGCCAGCCTCCTTGTACAAAACCCCAAATCCACTGCCGATAGATCTATACTTGGCGGGATCGATCTGAGCAAAGAATCCATTCATCAGCCACACGCTTTAAACCAGAAAATCGAGCTTACCTGCATATTACACTTGACCATGTCCAAAGGCGTCACGGCCGTGTGAGTGAGGCCGCAGCTAAGAATCCCCCCGACAGTGCACGCCGCATAGAATTCCGGCGAGTACATCGCGATCTTTTTCGACTCGTCTGGGGATGGGATGAGAAACCTGGAAGATTGGAGAGCGCCGCCGCCGCCGCCATTGATCCGCGGCTCCGCGGCGGGAACTAGTGCTGGCGCCGGAGCTGGCGCCTTGAATCCCTTGCTCTTGTAGAGGAACGATGGCAGCGCACTGGATCGACGACTGTCTTCCAGCGCCATTGTGTTCCTCTCGCTCAGCTCAACCCCTGGAGAAAATAGCTAGGGTAAAGGGGTTTATTTGACCCCCTTTTCTCGCATGGACGGCCCAGATCTTCCTTGGTTGTTTTCGGTATGAGCAGATTCGAATATACAAGGGAGTGTCTGAAATTTGCTGGAGAATTACGGAGTGGAATGTCCACCAGAATTTCCAATCGTCGTTTCTTATCGCCGTCCGATTTCTTTTCCTCGCCGGTTTTGGAATCTTGCCTTGACTCCCACACGGCTCACAATGTTTCTCTAGAACTTTAGAACGTTCTCCCAGTAATTCATAGAAGCTGGATGTGAAGAGAAATTTAGTAGGGAGTGGAAGCAAGCTCTTGAAACCTCAGAAATGCAGGCCGAGCATCTTACACATCTAGAACACAAAGGACATGAAATGACCTGAAAAAAAAAAAGATAGAAAGAGTTAAAACTCTTGCGAGCACGAAAAGATAGTCAAAATTTCTGTTCTAGAGGAGAGATTCGAAGCTACGGGGAAGAGTTGCGAGGAGAGAAAAGAATGTTTGAGCTTTGCTTACTTGCAGGATCTGACCGCTTTCACTTTTCTCTTTGGGCTTCATGTGCTTCATTCGTCACCATGTTTACGTCCTTGACGATGATCCGGCTCCATTTGCTTTGCCTTTGTCTGCCGGAGAGGCGGACGCACATTCTTCTTCTCCTTGACCTTCTTGAGCTCCGTATACAAGTAGAAGCTTTGATCAGGAAAAGTTCCTGCTAGAAAGAAGAGAGCAGCGCTTACCGTCGTTATGGTCGTGCATGGTCTGGATACAGCCTTCCACCCTGGAGCACATTTCCACAAGGAAAAATTCTCAGCTTCTCGATATCGATGCGATAAGAACGGTCTCCAAAACATGAAACTCCCTGAGATCAAAGCACAACACACCGCCATCGCGCTCAATGCAGGCCTCTAGGCGAAAAAGGCTACGTGGATGGCAGGTTTCGAACCTGCGCGGGCAGAGCCCACATGATTTCGAGTCATGCCCGATAACCACTCCGGCACATCCACATTGTCCAGCTTTGAGCAAGTGAGCATGGCTCGCGACGACAAGCCCGCATCTACAACGCCACAGTCCGGGACTTACGCGCAACATCTCTTGGTTTGAGGCAACCTATAGATTGGATTTCCAGAGGGTTCGCGTTGTCGGGAAGTTTCAGCGGCACGGTCTCTCGATTGAGATAAGCTTTTTCCTGTCACTCCACTCTTCTTTGGAGGTGGTTGTCTCTGTTTTCTCGTAAATCTCACCTGGTCGTAAATCTTTGCAGGCCTGTACCACCACAGCTAAGATCACGAACTCGACATCTAGAAGCAGCGGTCATTAACGTCAAATGAATCGTTGCAAAGATGAAAAGGTATGGTTCCTCTTTTTCCTTGTCCATAGTTCGTGATGGATGATTTCCTTCTTTCCTTCGAGGATTAGATTATGAGTTCCTCGTTTGTGTCTCGCGGCAGGATAAGCTGGAGCGGATGAACAGCCTCGCAGTGAAGGAGTCTCTTCAAGGAAGTCGGTGAGAAGGAGAGAGTTTTTCTCTTTCGTTTCATACTTTTGAAGATCAAAATCCTGTTTTTCGTTTGGTTGCTTCAAGGACGCTGGAGACTCGATCCGGAGCTCATGAGATCAACTCCGTCCAAGGCTTTCCCCCTGGAGGATCAAGCTCACAGAAGTCATGTAAGTCGGAAAGTTCCATGAAGATCTCCCTGAAAGAGTTTTGCCTTTCGCAGTTACATGGCAGAGCTGAGAAGAAACATCGATTCATCGCGTTCGTATAATTGGGAAAAACCCATCGCTATGGCTGTTAACCACATTTAATTAATCAAAGCCTTGGATTACGATGTGTGCTTGTTCCCTGGAAAGTTACGGACTGAAATGTCCACCAGATTTTCCAATCGTCATTGCTTATCGCCGTCGGATTTCTTTTGCTCCCCGGCTTTGGAATCCTTGTCTTTGTCTTTGTCCTTGTCCCGGAAGCGAAGTTTCTTCCAGCGCTCAATAGAATCAATGACCTCCCCGGTTTTGATCAAGTAGCGAACTTTAGTTCCATCCTCGAGGACCTTGTGTCCCACACGGCTCACAACCTCGGCACTGATGGAATAGAGCTGGACGTTGGAGCTGTGTATTGGAGCTTCCACCTGAACAAAAAAAAAGAAAAAGAAAAAAAAGGGGTCAAAACTCTTGCGAGCAAGGAAAGATAGAAAGAGTCAAGTTCTTGCAGCTGCAAAGAGCAAAGTTTCAATTCGAGAGGAGAGATTCGAAGCCGCGAGGAGAGAAACGTTTGATCTTTGCTTACTTGAAGGATCTGGCCACTTTCGCCCTTCTCTTTGGGCTTCATATGCTTCGTCACCATGTTTACGTCCTTGACGATGATCCGGCTCCATTTGCGGTAGAGCTTCGTGACTTCTCCAACTTTGCCTTTGTCGCTGCCGGAGATCACCTTCACTGTGTCGCCCAGGCGGACGTGCATTTTCTTCTTCTCCTTGAGCTTCTTAAGCTCCCATTTTCTTATCTGCATACAAGTAGAAGCTTTGATCAGCTAGAAAGAAGAAAACATTGCTGCGAGAGCAGAGCTTACCGTCATTGTGATCGTGCATGGTCTGGATGCCAGCCTTCCACCCTGGAGCACATTTCCACAAAAAAAAATCTCAGCTTCCCGAGCTCGATGCGATGAGAACGATCTCCAAAACATGAAATTCCCAACCAGGCCCTGAGACATTCTCGCGACAACAATGCAAAGCACAACACACCGCCACCGCGCAATCCATGGGCAAAATCTGGACCAACACACACGGAATCACGCGCAATGCAGCCAGAAACTCACCGCCGGAGAGGCTTGCAGCGGCGCCAATCGCTGATTCCATCCCGAGCTCGACGAGAATCCGAGCGAGAGCCCCGCCATGGAGCTGGCGAGCGACGCCATGCTCGTCGTCGTCGCCATATCCCTACACGCTGGCACTTAAACCCCAATGACGTGGCAGACTATACTTCGCCACGTGGAACCCTTTCGGGCGATTTTACCCTAGCCAACGTCATAGCTCCAAAGGGCTAGGGCAGCAATTTTTTTTTTTGCCTTTGAGGGTAGAAGTTGCTGTTGTGGGTTTTGGCGAGGGCACTTAGTTGCCACAGCCCAAATGGTTTAGTAGACGAAGAGAAAAAAAGGCCCCCGCGGTATCAATCGTTTCAAATTTTTGAAAAAGAAGAGGCCCAAGAAGCCAGGGCGGGCGCCGCCGGGGCGGCCGAGGGCCGGGGGGCGAGGCGGCGGCGAGGCGGCGGCGTCGAGCTTGCGCGCCATGGCCGAATCGGGAGCTTCGCGATGAGGTAACCCGGGATTTCGTCGCTGCAGCGGCTGCCGGCATTGGGGAATTCCTGGTAGGGCACCGCTTGTTCTCGCAGGATTAGAGCGATTAGCGCTGGGAGAGGTGTGTGCTGCGTGAGCTTGGCTTTACCCTAGGCTGGCTGGCTACCCGCGAGCTCTCTCGTCACGCATTTTTTCGATGCTTCCACTTAGCTCAGATTTGTGAGGATGTTTGGTTTGTGTGGAGTTTTTCTCTTGTTTTCTTTTTCTTTGCTTAGAAGGTTTGGTGGAATGTTTTGGTTCATATATCTTCGTTTCTAAACAGTTTAATCTTTTCTTCGTTTTGCAGGAACCAATTTTTCTTTGCAAGCCGCAAGCTCGTAGCTTCATTTTGAGTAGCTGAATTTAGCCATGGAAAATCACTCTACAGGTCTCGACAACAAGAAGAAACTGGACGTGCTAAAGAAAGACAAGTCGCTACGTGACACGAGAATGGACCCCGAAGAGCTCATCGACGCCGACGCGAGAGTTCCGAATGGGTTGCATTTGAAACACGGGAATGGGATCGTGGACAAGCAGGGAAGTCCTCAGCTGGTTGCACGGGTTTACAGCAGGAAACGAGCGCGAGATTCTCTTGTGGATGGTGGCTCGAAAAAGTCAAAGCAAAAGGTCGAGGAGAGGGTGAACCACATCCTTGGGAAGACTGCGGATGTAATTCTGGTGCTGGCCGGGCTATCACAGATGCGAGGTGGTAAGCCGCCAACGGAGATAGAAATGCAACTGGCGAACGACGCAGAAACTAACTTAAGCGCCTTGGTTGCGAGGATATCACCAAGCAGTCTCCTGCCAAAGCAGTCACTCGACAGCATGATATCAACAATGGGATACCGGAAAACTGTCGAAGGGAGCATTGAGCCGGCTCCTCGGCCTCAAGAGGTAACGGAGTTTATCATTCGTTGTGCTCTTATCTCATTGACTTCCTTGCAGGATGCGAAAGTAAAAGTTGAAGGCGAAGATTCGGATTCGGACGATGACAGCTCCGAGGATGATGGAAATCAGCTTCAATCAGGTACCTTTTTTTTATATTGTATTTTCGTTGTTCTGTCGTTCTGAATCATTTGCTTAGCTTGGGATCCATTTAATGCAGCTCTCCTGACTTCCCCGAATGCTCTCTCACTCGACGATGACGCGGATGCCGACTTGAAACAATCTGACGACTACGACGAGATTGACGAGCAAGCACAGATGATTAGACACAAACAGCTTGTGACGCTGGTCCAACAGCTAAAGGCCGAGAGCTATGTACCCCAGCAGATGTGCGATGTCAGCAACGCCTACATGATGACGCTGGTACCGTGCGATCTCTGCCAGTGCATTGTGAGGGACACAGCGAGTGTGGTGGTTTGCGATGGCTGCGAGAAAGCTTTCCACTACAAGTGCGTACCATTTTGGGAGTATCCAAAAGGCGACTGGTCCTGTCCAAAGTGCAACGGAGTGAAGCCGAGATATGGACCCGTGAAGAAAGGCTCTGGGACGCCAAACAAAATGCCAATCAGGAAACCCGAAACTAAGCCTACGACTCCTCAGCAAACAGGAGCTACGTCGGCTAATGGTCCGAGTGACGCATCCAAGCAGCCGCAGCAGCAGAAGGCTCCATCGCAGGAAGTTATTGAGGCCATGGAAAAGCTGAAAGCTCAAGCTCAAGCCGCCCAGGTACAGGCTCAAGAAGCTCAAGCCGAAGCTCAGCAAGTAACGCCCCCAGCTCCGTCTCCGGCCGAAAACGCTGCGACTACAGCCCAGCCCGACAACTCGGGCGGCCAAGTTTGCCTTCACGTCGATTGGGTTGGAGCTCCTACCAAGGTGGTGGACAAGCGAGTCTACTATAGCTCCTGCTGCGTTGGAGGCTGGACGTACAAGATAAAAGACTGCGCGCTGTTTCGTCCAGAGTCGCCCGAGATCCCACCTTACATTGCAAGGCTTCAGGTACTTCCAAGTTTTCATTTCTAGTTCTCGCTCAAGCTTAAGTTTTCCAGACTCTGTGGGAGGATCTCGAGTCTGGCGCAAAGTGGGTTCGCGTCAATTGGTGCTACTATCCAAACGACATGCCAGCGATTGCGGGTCGACCAGACGACGCTGAGGCTGGCGAGGTAACTTGAGCAAATCTCTCATTTTATTACATTCTTTTTAAAGATGACACACTCACTTCGTTGTTCTTGGATCAGGTGTATGAATCAAACCATTGCGATAACAATTTGGTTGGATCGATCCAAGGTCCTTGCCAGGTGCTGGTTCCCCAAAAGTATGCGGAGGAGACGGCCAGGCGCCAGAACCTCTTCCCGGCTGGTGCCGCTGACGAGCTCCCTCCAATCTTCCTTTGCAGGTAACTGGAAAGAAAGCCTGACTTTGTGTGCCTATAACAAAGTTTCTTCCTGTCAGGTACACTTACAATGCTCAGAAGGGAGTGTTCCAGAAAGTCAATTGGATCGTAGAGTGAGAGCGAATGTCGTGCCACGATTTCTTCTTTTGTATGGCCACCTCTTTTTTGTAGTGGGGTGGAGATATACTTCCCAACGAAATATAAACAAATCGCTGATGTTTAGAAGCTTGAGCTTGAGGCAAATAAAATCGATAACATCACTTCCATTACCAAAGAAGCAAATCAAGTTAACTGTCATTCGTGTCAAGCTCACTCGTCTCCACGGTTGCCAAAATGTAGTACAGCTACCTGATATCGACTCGCGGTAGCTCTCCTTTGGAGCAGTCACCATTTTAAAGGCATCAGTTGCAAACACGAAGCGCAGTAATGACCCAGGATTCTGAAAAAAAAAAGGAAAGAAAACCACATAGGAGTTGATGAAAATGAAAGCTTACCTGGGGAAGGAGGAAGAACAAGATGCTAACCGTATAAGAGAACACGATCAAGAACTTGTTTGGGCATGGTTCACAGATGGATCATCACGAATACCAGCAGTACCATCTGCCTTTAGCTCGAGGACTACCTGCTTAAACCAGTGTCAGCTGTGCGAGGAAACGATTGCAAGAGCATCAACCTCCATCAGAGCAAGACCATCCCTCAAGTGGAGTTAGAGCACGTACAGCTACAAGTGATACCTTTGGAATCGCTATCGGCTACAGTCTGTGTCTTTCCAAAGGGCGAACGGTGGCATCCTGAATTACCAGTGAAACAAAGACTCAAGCCAAAAAAAAAAACGTCCCCACCTATTGTAGAGAATTCCATCTCGAGAAAAGGTTTGTTCGCCGCCCGTGCATCACAGTCGTGAACCGCAATTCAGCTCAAGCGATAGAGATCTGTTCCGCGAGCTTAGAATCTCTCCAAACGAGCCGGCATTCCATACCGCGGGCCAACACATGGCTCGAGAACGTAGAAAGTCTACGAGAAGAAGTACACGCAGTCAAGAATAGTGAACGACGAACTTGGGCGAGCACCACTTGGCAGAGCTGAGGGAAAAGAGTGTAAGACTCGCCCAGCCTCCTCTAGAAGACACGGCAATGCATAACTGCAGTAAGACAATGACGTGAATCTCAAAGAAATCTTACCAGTCGGCTTCTGAACTGGCCGGAAATCCACTTCATGGGTGGCATCATCCAGCGCGTTAGCGTGCTGCCGAGAAAACGCTGCTGGATCTTGTCGACATCGCGCGCCCGAGGAGGGCGATGCGCCATAAACCCTAGAAATCGTCCTGGGCAAAACCTTGTCAAACCACGCGGCCAAGTGTAGGGAATGGAATATTCTGTTAGATAGGTAGGGGGTAATCTTGAAAGGGCAGGGCATGGATTCTGCCGTTGGCCTGCGAGGGAGAGCTTGGCAGCGAGCGCTGCCGGATTGATCTAGGGTTTGCATTGCGAGCTCCGCGGTTCTTGACCTGGATTGGAGCGTTCTTGGACGGAAATACTGGAGTGAGGTAGAGGGTTTATTTTTGCGCGGCCTCTTCTTGTGGGATGGTTGTACTCGACATCAAGCCCGGCAATCCAGGCCCAAGAATGAAGGGACAGAGGGACCGATTGCTGGTCCAGAGATTGCGGATTCTCTTCTCCAATCACTCGTCCTATCACATCAAGCTGCTCGTCTTCGTGGTGATTCTCCTGTCCACGGCGCTGCTGGCGAGGCGCGCGTCCACTCTGGTGGGCTGGAAGCACAGATTGGAGGAGCCGCAGCGCGATGATCAAGATCTCAGGTAAGAGCACAAAAAATCTCTCTTGGCAGTGGGATCCAAGTGTTTGATGCGAAACTTTCGGGATTGGATATCCAGGCAGCGCTACACGGTGCTCGTCAACACCTGGAAGAGGGAGGATCTTCTCAAGAAATCCGTGGCGCACTACGCGTCGTGCAAGGGGGTGGACGCGTTCCGCGTCGTGTGGAGCGAGCCGGAGCCGCCCAGCGACGAGCTGCATTTGTCGCTGCTGGAAACCATCGCCAGGAGGCAGCGGCGCGGATCCAGAGCTCCCGAGCTCCACTTTGATGTCAACCTCGAGGACAATCTCAACAACAGGTTTAAGCCCATCACAGGCCTCAACACCGACGCCGTCTTCTCCGTGGACGACGACGTCCTCGTCTCTTGCGACACCATGGAGTTTGCTTTCAACGTTTGGCTGAGCGCTCGAGACTCCATGGTCGGCTTTGTTCCTCGAATGCACTGGCTCCAATCTAAGGTACTTGGAAAAATTCCCTTCTTTCCCCAGTTCTTTTGGAAACATAGAACGAACAATAGGCTTAGGCTAGTTTCCAGTTCTTTTGCAAACTTAGAACAGTAGGCTTTGCTTCTTTTGGTATTTTCTTACAGTGGTTTTGCATTGCCGATTTCCAGGGCCAAACTCCGACGTATAGATACGGAGGGTGGTGGTCTGTATGGTGGACGGGATCATACAGCATGGTCCTCTCCAAGATCGCGTTTTTCCACAGCAAGTATTTGGAGCTCTACACTTACCAGATGCCTCAGAGCATCCGGAGCTACGTTGCCAACGAGAGGTTTGTTCGTCACGTCTCTCGGCCTCTTGCGGGCCAATTGTCTAGCTTTGTTTTGACGCCTTTCGTGACTTTCGACTCACAGGAACTGCGAGGACATCGCCATGTCCTTCCTGGTAGCAAACGTCACGAAGGCTCCACCAATCTGGGTTAAAGGTGCGTAAAAAACGCACTGAACACCTGTGACGGATTCTAACTTGTTTGTCCGTCTTTGTTGGCCTGTGACGATGTCTAACACGTAGTGTGATTGCTTGTTCCAGGCCGCGTTGTAGAAATTGGCTCTTCTGGAATCAGCAGCTTGACCGGTCACAGCCACCGGAGATCCAGATGTTTAAACCATTTCGTGACTCTGTTTGAAGGCATGCCGCTCGTTCCCAGCAGCGTCAAGGCCGTGAATTCCAAGCGCGAGTGGTTCTGGTGAAGCGGATTTCGTATCTCTGGATTTTGTCTTTTTTGCTGTGTACGCAGTCTTAGTTCGCCGCAGTCACCGCTATTGTATCAAAATCGATTCTTTATTCTTGTAAAGTCGAGTTGGTTCTTAAAAGAAAAAATGCATTTGGAAGGGGAAATATTAAAATTCGACATCCAAATGATTAATCGTCACAGGCGGTCTGTGTGTCCTTCTGCATGTCCATGGTCACAATTTTCAAAGCCTTCGGGTCTGGGTGTCCTTCTGTATGTCCAATGGTCACAATTTTCAAAGCCTTCGAAAAGCTTCCATGTGTGTATCTAGTTTATATATAGAAGAAAATAGTAAAGATTGAATCCAAACCAAAGTCCCACTCATAGATGTATATAAAGTGTTTTAATTGTTGTATATATATAATTTTCTAGTTAAACCTTATAAACTTACAACCCTCTATTGAGCCTTTTAAACTAAAATATAAATGGATAACATAATGTTAATTCATTTTCTCAACCTTGCATAGATTTTGACTGGATTAATGGATTATGACAATTATAAAAGTAGCTTAACTCTATTAGCTGTAAAACCCTAAAAATTAACAATCACAATCCACAGCCACGATCAATAGTCATGATTTTTATTCTCTTCAATGGTAATTGCTCTTTAGATTCTAGTGATATGCTAATTTTTTTAATATTATTTTAATTTTGCAAATAGTAGGATATATTTATTTGATAAATCCACTATGAACAAAGATTTAACGTGTTCTTTATAAGGACACAATCAATCAATGTTTTGGATATTAAAATATGTGTAATTGATTGTGAAAGGAATAATATTTGCTGAGATGAATAAGGTTATAAGAGAGAGGCCCTACAACTATAAAAGTTATAGTGTTAATAATTTATTCTCCCTCTCATCTCCATGCTCTCTTCCCTACAAAAGAGTTTTATTCTTTTGTGAGAAGTGAGAAAGAATTAAGCTTAAAGAGGTTGTTTTCATTCTTTTGTTGACATATGAATCAACCTCTTTGAGCCTAACTCTCTCTCACTTTTCACAAAAGAATGAAATTCTTTTGCAAAGAAAAGAGCATAAAAATGAGAGGGAAAACAAGCTATTAGCATTACAACTTTGGCAATTGATTAGCACCTCTTGCTCATAACCCCATTCATCTCAACAGTATTAATCCTCTTATAATCAATCACATAATTACTATGTGTGGCTTTTTAAGATTCTCATATATCTCTAGATTTTAAATGGTTGTATATTTTGCTAAAATAATTAACTTGTTCTTTACAAGGACATAGCTAATTAAAGCTCACATAAATATAAGAATAGATAGACTTTGAATGGACAATTTATATGCTATAGTACAATAATTTATATATTACCTATATAATATATATATTATCTAGGAAACTTGTATGGGGACTGAAATGGTAGTGGATATATCTAGAATATGCTTGAATATTCTAGGATATTCTACCATTTAAAGGTAGTTATTCATTTAGATTAATCTTATAGTTATAATTTCTAAACATGTTTATAACTTAGAAACATTTTAAACCCTTTCTAGTATATTCTTTTTTATTCTACCATCTACTGGTTGATATGGAATAAGATTAATCTTGTGTTTATAATTATAAACATGCTTATAATTAAAAACTTCATTTGATCAATTGGATTAATATGTAGGAATAACACTACTATTAAGCAAACCAAGTGTTGCTACATGCAACATATAAATTTTTTTAATTATATTTAGATAGTATTTTTAAACTCTTAGTGCTTTAAATTTATTCACAAGTTATTACTGTTCTTAATATCATAAAGCATAGTGAGAGGGATAAATGAGGATTTCCAAGACTTATAATACAAAGGATGGTTCATGTTTTCTGTTATGGCAATTAACTATATATGTATAGACATCAAAATTGCAAAATAAATTACAGATTTTTGTATTCATTATCATTTTTTGGGCAATACTAGTACCATATATAGAGAACGATAATAGAAAAATAAAAACAAGAGATTATCCACATGGCTCATTAACTAAATATCTAAGGGCTTACTAAGAATCTAAATACAATTAAATATTCTTATTGCCAACTGTATCGTGTTAAATCAACTTAAGAAACAATGTTAACAATGTTTTTGTCCTTTATTTTTAAAAATTCACTTTTATTATAAAGCCATTTCTATTTACCAACAAGTTTAATAGGCATAATAATTTTTTCTTTAAATATGGTATTTTTCTTTAAATTAAAATTAAAATATTAAAAGAAACATATGGTATTTTTCTTTAAATTAAAATTAAAATATTAAAAGAAACATATGGCATTTCTCTAAATCATTAAAACATATAAAACATTAAAATACCATAAGAAAAATTTAATTTCTCACACTCCCCTACATCACCGTATTTGTGCCAGTCCTTGACTCGGCATTTCCACTCAATATAAAAGTATCTCCAACAACACTGTAAGTAAGAAGGAAGTAAGAATGCAAGTAAAAGAGGAGAGAAGATCCACTCCACAAATCTGACAAAGACGACGAAGAGGAGGAAAAAGAAGAAGACAAGAAAGAGCTTTCACCACCAACAATGACTCCACTGGCAAAAAGGACCAAGATAACAACAGTCTTGCTTCCAAAAAATAGGATAAAATCAACCACAAGCCAAATCAAAAGCATCATCTCCAAAGAAGAATTGGAGGAGAAGAGTTACAAACAAAGTCAAGAAATCAATCTTGACTTTATAACCACCCCAACCAATGTTGTAGCAGTTCATACTAAGAAAGAAGGGCCAATATCCCCACCCACTGAAAAGAAATGGTAGTTGATGACAGCACCATGCCACAGCATTGCAAGCACTACAGCAAGGAGTGTCTAGACCAAGAACAATATAGAGAGCTAGAGAAGGAGTGATGACATGAACCAGAGCTGCCACACCAGCTGCTCAGCTTGGTCCAATTTATTGATGAAGTCCAACACTTCCAACCAACACCAAAAATGCCAATCCTGGCAGATTTTGCAAGGCAATTCTATGATGAACGAATGAGCACTTTTCTATGCGATGGAGTGTAGGCCATGATCAACATTGTTGTCTTTTAATCCTTGGACACAAAGCTCAACAAGATCTAGAGCGACATCCAACAACTCAAAAGGAGTATTCGAGGTATGTCCTTCTAGAGGATAGTGTGTGTAGAGACACAATGCATCAATGACCATT